GCCCGGAGCCTCAGTTGAGAGGGACCCAAAGAAAGGGGTGAAGTCGCTTCGGGCTGCCGCGGCGATACCCGATAGGCGCCAGGGAGCTGGCCCTGACAACGGGCGCTGGCCAGCGTAATTTTTTGTATCAGTCCCGTAACTTTCTCCCTCTGTATAAACCATCCCTCCGCACAGCATCTGTACCGTGACAGGCAGTGTAGGCTGGTCGTTGGAAAGATAAATCGGTGCAGACCAACTGCGTGATTATGCTGTCTCATTTGCGATTTACTGAATACTATGTCTTTCCAAACTATCACAGAAATCAGAATTTCTGCAACGCATATGAATAGCTGCCATAATCCAAGTCAACATGAATATATGTGCACTTTAGTCACTTTTTAGAGACAGAAATACAGTTTTGGTATTCCGGGGAAAAAATTCCTAGCAACTGCTCTAAAATTATGACAAAAAATGCTGAATCCGATGCAGATCACACAATAGGAAGGTTAATGTAGGTGCATTTCTACTCCAAGAGCAATTGCTTTAGAAACCTAAAAAACCCAGGACCATATATTAAAATGCATTGCCTTCTCCTTTGGAAAATGAGACAGCTAAGCGTGTGGCATTTGTGCCCCAACTTTATGACCAAAAATAGGTATGGTGGCAATCAAGCAGCTGTACACACACAGACATGAAGCAGAATAGGCTTCAAAATCCAATCTTAACTAACTTGCAAATTACTTTAATTTTTAGCTCCACAGAATTTAAAGAGCAAATTTACACATGGCTTCATTTTTTCAGCTTCAGTATTCAGGGGGGATGCAAAATTCCTAATTCTCACTCTAGATGGAAGTTTCCAATTTGTATTCCCCTGCAGAATAAAAATGTAATACACGTAATACCTGCATTTTATCACAGTTTAAACATAATCATTCTGTATATTGTAGAGAAGTGGTGATCCTAGTGACCATGATTAATATTTATTATTTTCTCCCCATATATTTGAAGCTTTTTAAGCATATACTTGACTAATATTTTCAGTGAGGCTGTTTCAAATTTAACTGTTTGTAGACCTTGTATGAAAGCCCGCTAAGGTAAAAAATGTCAGTGGAAAGTAAAATAGGCTTATAAAAAAACCCAGAAACAAATTGTATGTGTAACTGACATGACGGTTTATTTGCTTGAAAATTTGAAATTTTGTTTAAATTAGAAACACCATGGAGAAGCTTGTGTAGAGGGGCCAGATCAGTTTTAGCTAGTATGGACAGTTATGTCATAAAGAAAATAATCATTCATTTTCTTTGTAAAATGTTTGCCCTCAGGAGAAAGTCTGTACCTGTAGGATGTAACTATTCCTCTAGAATGTGAATGTATGAACAGAAGCTATTTTTCTTGTCAATAAGAAATTTATCAAGAGAATATCAAACTCTGAATTTCCCTCTGATTTGAACAATATTGTGTAATGAGACTTTTTTATGCCTTGTTGTCTGAGAGTCTGCTCTTTTTATGCTTTTACTCCTCGTCTATTTCACTCCTGAATTACCTGGATGTGTTCCCTTCTCTTCTTCCAAGCCTTGCTTTATTCTTCACTTGACCAGCCTCCTAAATAATGTCCTTCAGACTTCTTTTCTCAGTCAAAATGTTTCTTAATACCTACCTATCTTCCACATCTGCAGCTATCTTCCAGCCTCAATGGTGTGGAAGCTATCTTCCATCCTCTATAGAACATGAAAACCAGGTGCTAACCAGACACAAGTCCTTTCAATGTCCTCAGCTGGTACGACCGAAGACACTACAAATCATGATGCTGTCACACATGTGCCACTCACCCATTCACAGGAGCTGCTGCTGTCATTAGTAGAAATTCAGCTGAGGTGATCTTGTGCTGTCAGAAGAACTTTGGCTAATGGTAAAGAGGTTGAGAGATTAAGTAACACTGATAACCAGTAGAGCTAAAAGGGCTGAAAGGCATTAGGTTGGAGATTGGTTGCTAGTGGCTTGCTGTAATGCTGATCTACAAACCAGTCTTATTTAATGTTTTCAGTAACAACTTCAATGCAAAAAGTAAGAATGAATGAATGTAGTGTGCTGTTAATGCAAAGGTGAACAGGAGCATCACTACAGAGCAAGATCAGCATAACAGACACAAGGTTTTGATGACCTGAATAATAGAAACGAGAAGCGATGCAACAGTACAAAATGCAATAGCTTCGGAGATAACAGTAGTTTCTATTAAAAGCTCTTTTTGACAGAAGCACAGTTGTTGGAAATGTCTGTGGAGATAAAAGACTGTCATATTATCTGACCTCATTGTTTTATGAGATGCTAAAGTTTTTCAGCCATGAAAGACAAGCAAAATTGAAAAAAAAAAAAAAAGTAGGAGAGAGCTACTTTGTGTAACTGATAGTAATCATTAAGGTAGTTGAGTACTGAGGCTTCTGATCCAAACTGTGCCAGGTGGTGCTGTCTGGAGATCAAATCAGTCACAGAGGAGGGCCACTGTGATGAGTTGGGGAATACAAGGCAAGAGAGGAGAATAGATGAGTCTAACAGCTCTGGGCATAGCCTTTCAGTGAAGTATTTATGATATTTCCAGGGGAATGGCTTATGTCTGAAAGGTACAGTGATCTTACATTTCTTCGCTAGTCACTGTGTAAGCACACCCTAAAAATCTAAGCTGGGAAGGACTGTGAATGCTCTCAAAACATATATGAGTTGGGTAAATATTACAAATAGAAAGGTATCATTTATAGTGAAGGAAGTTAATATGCAAACCATTAATAAATTTGTAATTAGAAATAAATTAGGCTTGAAATTAGAAGAAGGTAAATAACGGTTGATAGCTGGGAAGAATTCACCAGCGAAGAAACACAGTGGTGATGGTGGTGAGATTGTTATTAAGACTGAACATGATTGATCTTTTAAGAGCATAATAATGATTGGCTTCCTGTGCTAGCAGAAATCTACGACAGATTAGCAAATATTTCTATAAAAGGTCCCTTACAGTCTCTTGTTCTGTGAAAGGTAGTGACACAACATGGTGATGATCCCTGAAAAGAAGGCATAGGCAGAATCTATCCACAGATTCTGTGGTAAAGTGCCAACAGCATGGATCATTTTAATGAAAGTGAGATGTGACTTACATGAATATGGAATAAATTTTGGTTCGGTTTAGTTTAATTTTCAATGTAAGTAAGCATGGTGTTTGGCTTTGGACTGCTGGTTTTCAAGGAAAGATAAAATACATGTGGAACTCTGTTTCACCTGAATACTTAACTGATTTCTGTATATACCTCATCTTTGAGCTGTGATTGCTGCTATGTTTTCAGGGCACCAGAACTTCCTTGTGATTCTGTACAGCACAAAGCAGAAAAGTTTGTGGCTGTTTTCTCTTTCTACAACAATTTTTACTCTATTCACCAAATCACAGGTCTTGCAAGTCTGCTGAGCTGCCAAAGGTCAATTAAATTAGTAAAGAAAATCCTAAGACTTTCAGTCAGAACACTTTCTTTCGGTATATGTATTGTCAAGAGCTTGTGTCACACACTGGTCAAGCTCAATTCCTTCATATCAGTAAAAAATATTCTTAATTTAACCAAGAAAAATCTTGTCAAGTAATCATAGCTACCATTCACCTAAATACTCAGCTGCTACTTAAGTAAATATACTTTGAAAATAAATAATGAAAATCCTCTTCCAAAGTAAACAAAGATGACGAATAGTGATTATGAAAATCATACTGATTTTGAATGAAGAGTATTGCAGCAGTTCTGTTTACTGAAAGGGCTGCAGATTAGTGGACCTGTCTACCATTGAACTGAGATTAATGAATCATTTCATTCACTTCAGTAAGCTTGATCATGCTTTAAAAAGGTAGTGAGTATCCATTTTACACATGATGTTGCTGTTACCTGAAGACTCCACACAGATCGTTTTGCTGGTTATATCTACGGTTTTTGTTTGTCAAAATTTATTGATACATCTAAATTCTGTATCCTGAATTGAAATGTCCATGATTTATGGTGAAATAATAAACATATGTTTTTGGTTTATTTCCAGATTCAGAAGAGGAAATGAAAGCATTAGAAGCAGATTTATTGACCAATATGTACACATCAAAGGTAATTATTTTTCCTTTTTTTAGCTGACGGGTAGGGAGCAAATGAATTCTCATTAGAAACCCAGAAGTCTTTGCACAAAGTAATAACCTATGGTCTAGACCAAAAAGTTCAGTGCTAGATATTACTTTGGTGCAAGATTTTCTCCAGTTCAAAGGAAACTTAAAGGTGTTGATGTGACATACTAAAAGTGCTCCTCCCTCGTAACACTGGTACTTTCATTAAACTGTCAGAACTGTGTTATGTGCAGAGATGTAAATTTATGTGAGGAAATGTGTTTCCAATAGGATTATACCTGATGAAAGCTAAATTAACCTTGAGTCAAATCTGTAAGTGCTATTTTTTTTTTTCAGAACTTTTCCTATATACATATAACATTAAGAATGTCATAAAGCAAAAACTGTTAATACATATGCTGATTTTGCTTTAGGAATTTAATCATATTGCTAGTACAGGAACATGGGGACATGAGTGTGAAAATGTTAATGAGATAAATGACATTTCCTTGACAAGTTGCCAGACTGTGAGCGATGTGCCTATTATTTAATACAAAGAGACAAAAATTCAGTTCCAACCTCATATTGACAAGGTGAAGCAGCAAGTGTTGCACATGTGTATTGAACAGGCTGGTAGACAAACACTTTCTCAACACTATTATTTTCCACAAAGGATCTAAGAAATATATACATCTGATACTTCTTCAGCAACATATTAAAGAACAAACCCTGAAACTAGTGCCATGAGCTTAAGTTTGAATGTTTTAATTCTTTGTTATAATGAAGTTCAAGTGGTGCTTAAATTAAATGGAAAATAAAGTGAGAAATGAAAAATTCCCTTCCCAAAAGAATTTTGTAAGCCAATGACTAGTTGACTGCCTGGAAGACTTTTGTATTTACTGTATTTGCTTATGTGTGAGCTTTTTCACAGAATCCTTTGAATAGACTAGAATAAGAAATGAGTCCAGAAAATACATTGTTTTGATCTGGTCTGGCAGTTCATAGGTTCCCATGATCTTTACTGGCATGGTAATTAACCTTAGATACCAAATAAACCTGTTTGCCACTCGCTTCTCTAAGGTGCAGAAAGATTTAATAGATACGCTTTTCCTGAGAGAAATTTAAATGTAGGAGGCTGACAAAAATAGTTCTTTCTCTGTGTTGCAAAGCACGGTATGCCCTGGGAGAAAACCCTGCAGCTATTGGTATTTTTGCTGCTGACTTTAGTGGAACTGTGAACATAACTTCCATCTTTTCCTCCCTCTCAGCATAGAGCACAATCTCAGGTAACTGAAAATGCACAAATATAATGCACCCGTTGATTACGTAAAGATGTTTGCCATAATACTCTTATATGTTTATTTACATCCTGTAGCTTGCTATTCAGTTTGCTTATGGTATATACCGTAAGTCAAACAATACCTGAAGTTGTCAGCAGCAGTAGATGCATGGTGGAGACATTTCTTTAATTCTACATTATACGGCCTTAAATCACCATCTAAAATTCATTAGTTCAATATATTGTCTCTTGACATCAAAGTAAGGCATAGTGGAACTGCTAAAAGGTGTGCATAAATGTTTCTACAAGAGACATAGCACTATTTTATTCATTACTAAAATGACAAATTTTTAAAATTTTTTTCTGTTGTCCTCTGCTAACTTTTAACCCTCATTAGGACAAAAGTATGATTTGTATGTGAGAGACAAATCTGAGGATGACATGTGTAATAACTGTCTTGTATCATTGTATCATGCCTGAAATCTCGTTGCTGTTGAGGACAATTACTGTTAAATTGCATTAACTGTCTTTGAAACTGAGTTGGTAATAAGCAGTAAGGGAAATCCAGACTATTTATATAGCATTAAGATGGAGAGAAAAAAAAAAAAAAAGAAAAAAATGTTTATGAAAGCTCAGATCTAAAAATGCAGTAAAGTGATTTATCTTCCTAAGTAGGCACTTGTGAAGCATAGCATCAAGACTACGGCTAGGGTTTAAGCACACATGTTTTGCAACAGTCAGTAGTCTATCCTATATTATGGAAAGTGTTACCATACGCTTTTGACTCCACAAACTGCTGTTCAGTGTCTACTGGCCCTTTTAAAACTGCTCTTTAAAGTCATCTGTATGCTGAATCACTCTCCGTCTTTAAAGAAGTATGTCTATGCTTATTACAACCCGTCTTAAACATCTAATACAGTTTATTCCCCTTCTCTGCTGTTACAACTCAAAGAAGTTACAGAGGTCAAACAAGTCCCTAAAATGCTTTATCTGTCTTTCCTCTAAGATAAAATCCAAACAGCCATTTGGAAAACCTGATAAAACAACACAATCTGAAGTGTCACAAATATGTGGACTGTTATCTTCTGTCTCACTTTTGTATGACATAGATAGCTCTATTCCCAGCTTCCTAAATATTTGCCTGAAACCACGGCTAGCGTCAAGAATGTCCTGAACTCAGGCAAAATTGAGATGTTATTAAAGAAAAAAAAAAAACGAAATAAATTTGTTTACTTGAAGAATGTATAATCACTAGAATTTACTCCATCTTTGGAATCCCTACTCACATTTATTTTCTGAAATCTTGGACCCTCTGAGCTTCTTACTGTTCTAGGATGCCTTCTGCTGACTGTATGTGCCCAGGCAGTTTAGCCTTCTTGTCAGAGGCAGACAAGGTTACAGCTGCCTAGGAGGTACTGTTTTCCCAACTCAGTCATCACACAAAAATTCATTGCATTTATAGGCATTAGTATACACCATGGAAGAACTTGCGTGGTAACAAAACTCAATACAAGAACTCAAGACAAGAATATAAAAAGCAGAGAATTGAACTTTCTTTTTCTAAAAAAAAAAAAACCACATTTGGGAGGTACGCATTGTAACATAAGGAGTATCTTAAACAAACTATTAGGGGAATCATTCAGCCAGAAATGGAAAAACAAAGATATCATATAAGTTATAAATTGGGATTCTTTTTATCTTTCATAGGACAAGCATGTTGTCAAAGAAGGAAATATTCGCAAGCTCATTTCAGTTTCTTAGATGGTTTAAAATTCTCTTTCAAGGTATATGAGCTGTGGGAAACCATATGTCTGAGCCTTATTTCAGAAGCATGTTCAACAATGGAAATGCATACATCATATTCACTTCAGCATTAATAACTTTTAAATTCTGATTCATACTACACTCTCTTTGTTCCTTCAGCTCACTCACAGGTATTTTTCAAGTTAATCTTGAAAAAAATTAGTTCCATCTTGACAGATATGGGTTCCTTGATCTCTTGTGTAGGTGTTTTCCAGAACATATCTTGAGCAACTGTAGTTGGTATTGCTTACACCTGCGTGGAAAATATATCACATTGGAAATGTACTTGAACATTTGGGTTATGGTCATCTTAAACTGCATTTTCACATAATCCTTTAGGATAACTGCCTCAGACATTTCCCATAACCTATAAAACAAAGCTGTCTTATTGTAATGCTTGCTGTAATAGTGGAGTAGAAAAGTAACATGATTGCTCTATACAGTGACTGGACACGACCTGCAGAGTTCCATGTTCTGTTAAAAAAAAAAAAAAAAATCACTCTTGACTGGAGATCTTCATGCTTCACAGTCTCATTCTGTGAGCTGGCAGACAGAGTAAGTCAGAAGCAGGTGTACCTGAGTAAAAATACTTGAGGTGATACATGCATAATATTAATGGGAATTAGACTCCCTTAACAAACAAAGTATGCTTGCAGACAGCACTGCAAATTTCGCCACCCCCCCCACCTTCCTAAGTAGCAGCCAAGATCAATTTGACCTAATGAATTCTGCCGTTGAAATATTTTACTAATATAAAAAGGAAAGTTCCTTTAAACATAGGCATGCATCAGGCTAACATAAAGTAGAAACTTCAGATGAGAAAAGATTCTCTATATTATGCAAAAAGGCATAACAAATTTCCCTATCCTTTCTTCTCTCTTCTGTTCCCATCCACTGGAATATTTTTGCTTTCTTTAACTCAGATTTCTCACTTGCTTGCATAGCACTGCCCCTAGATTTTATTCCTCACTGCAATTTAGCTATTGTAGTGCTAACTCACATTTCTCTCATATACCCAGGGGAGAGAAGTGCACTGGAAAAGCCTCTTCATTTTACATGGCAAGCTTCATATTTTTTTTATTTCACCAACACTTTAAAACAGATCAAGAAATATTTTGAAATTGCAGTGGACACTTGCTTTTTTTGCTAGTTTAGCTTCTATTAATTAAATTAGACATTTTGCATAGAGGTTAATTTTTGTTTTGAACCCAACATACCTTTTCAGATAATTTGACAAATTAGGGCATCTAGATGGGACAAAAGATGAGCTGAAAGTAAACAATGCAGAACCAATTTCAAGCTTCTGATTTGAGATTTTCTTCTTAGCCTCAAAACAAAATACATTTTTTTTTTTTTTTTTTTCCTGAGCCCTGGCAGGGATCTGAGAGGTTTTATTAAAGGGCTCAGTTACTCTCATTTGGAAGACATGCATATATCAGATGTATGTTGGAGTAATGATTATGGCCAAAAGGGAATTTTTTGTAACTAATGCTAGTAGTGATGCCAACTTTTCTTGTTTCTTCCTCACTCCTCTCAGTTTTCTTTCTTTTTCCTCAAAAAATATTTGAGTGTGGTGAATATGCATAAATCCTGCATACAATGCCCTTGTTAGGAAGGTGCTTTAAAGAAACAACAGATTATGTGATTACCTAATGTTCAGCTAAGTAAGCACTGCATCCACACTCTTAATTATTTCTGTCAGTATGTGAAAGGCAATGTCTGTGTTAATGTAATACCTATATTTAACTTTGTACATCCGGGAAAAGAAGTAACTACATTTCACTTAATAGGTAAAGTGTAATCCTAACGTGCATAGGAAAATAAATAGGAATTTGCTATTTGACTTTTGATTGGAGATTCCTGTGTCACCAGTTCTAGTTTAAGGAAACTAGTTTCTATACTCACCACTAAAAGGAATACAATTTGAAAGAAATAATTAATAGTGGGAGAATGAATAAAGCAGCAAAGACGTGAAAAGCAGTGAATGAGGTAGGAATTAGATTTTTCACTTTTTTTTCTGATGATATTCATAACTAAAGAACGTTACTGCCACAACTGCTTGGAAAAAACAGTACTAGCAGAAAATTAAAAATTATATTTCTCAGTATTTTTTAAAAGGGTTTGAAAGTTAAATAACTCCTAAATAATGCAAGATACTGAAGCAAGCAAAATTTGAGCCAAACCATAGTGAAATTTCTTTATTTCTGTCTTTCTGTTACATCTCTGAACAGGTCCATTACGGACCACATAAATATGGTTGGTCTCAGTTTTTCAGTCCCGTTACCAAATCAGGAATGTATTATTTGCACAGCTCTGTTTCATCTTTACTCCATCTTCATCTAAGCCTGTAGACCTTTGCTTTGCATCTCCCAGGCTCATGACTCTCCAGCATCCAAAATTCCTGGGGCTTACAGATTCCATTACTTCAGACCTAGCTTCATCAGACAGCTTGCCCTGAAGCAGGGACTCCATTCTTTTTCTCAGGGAATTTTGAAATGACTGGTATTTGTTCTGAACTGGGGAGGATCGTCTAGTTAACCGCAGGCATCCACCTTGGATTCCAGTACCGGGAATTTATCCAGTCGGTTTGACTCATTGTCTGATTTACACCTGTGAATTTATATTATATTAATTTCCATCTGTGTTTTTGTTTGCACCTGTGCAGAATGACTATGAAATGCTACCATTCTGGTTTGGTAGCAGTTTAGTTTTTCATCCTGTATATCTACCTGGGGGGTAAGGCTGTGGGGAAGCAGGCTTGGTGTGTTTAATAAATGAGTTGTCCTAATTTCAGCACTCTCTAATTATTGTCTAAAAGTTGAGCAGATGAAAAGCACTTCAAACACACAAACTTGTTCCTACCAAAATATTTGAATGTCACACATTATTACTAAAAAAAAAAAAACAAACACACAAAAAAATGGCAAGATGTTAAATAGTGGGTATTTGTATTCTCAGATTAACAGAGGAAAACTTCCTTACTGGAAAATGACCCTGCTAAATGTCTGCAATCTTGTCAACAACATAAACAGCCAAGTGGGAGAAAACGTAGAGGTAGATGAAGAGGATCTCGTCTCAGGAAGACAGTTTCCGGCTGCTCTGGATGGCTTCAGCTTGGAAGCAATGCTGGCAGTATATCAACTCCAGAAAGTTTGCCACAGCAGAGCCTTTCAGCATTGGGAGGTAAAACAAACTGTCACAAATGTATGTTTCAACTGCTGTTAAACTCTCAGGCTCAGTTTGCAGTGATGTTTTAAAATCCATATCCGTGTGACCCCTGCCACATTGTCTGAGCTTTTCTTCCTTTCGTATAACCTCTGATACCTCTAATATGCCTCTTATTGAAAGAGTTCTTAATTAATGTAGTCTCTGACGAGCTGAATGTCTGTTTTTTATAACAACACATGGACAAATGAGAACTATTCTTAAATACGTGCTTTCTCCACTCTTTGTAACCATTCCAAGGAACCAAACAAACACATGAAAGTGAGCTCTGTGCTAGAACACAAAATTAATATCTGCTTAACAGACATGAAGTTATTGCAGATTTATTGAGGTATAAGTAAATGTAGGCAGAGTTTCTGAAAACCCTTTTAAGACCCTAAGGCAAACTGGATTCAAAATGCATGGACACATGCCTATGTGTACATGTAATTTTACCAGGGACTCTGGGCTTCTTATGATTGCTAGGAAACTGGTAGCAAGGGAACTCTTGCTTTTCACTTCCCCATACCTAAAGAAGGCCCTGGAGTTGTCATCATGATTGTATGAGGATTGCCGCTCTTAAATAGTGATTGTTTATAGTCCATTTGTGATATTTATCTCAGTGCAATGATCACACAGAGGCACACTGGGCACAATCCACTTGTGTTGTTATATACTACACTAAAGCTGCTTTGTGTAGCAAAAAAAAAAAGTATATCAGTGTCATTACCTACTTTCCAGTAAATACAATTTCTTCAGCTATCGCAGGGGTCATGCAGTCTGACAGAATCTTGATCCTTTTTTCTTTGCTCAATCACAGCTCTGTATTTGCAGGCTTATCCTCAGTCCTTCATATTAGCTGGGATGGTCCATACAAAGGACTGCAACATCTCTGAGAGACAGAGTTTACTGAGGACTCTCATCATCAGTACATTTATTGCTGAAAAGGAGCTGCTCTAGAAGTGACTATACGCAATAGCCCATATGACTTAATAACATTTCTTTATTTTGCAGTTGCATCACATCTTGTGGTGGTTGGGAATCGTCACTCCTAACAATACTGCATGTGAAATTGAAAAAAAATATACTCCTCTCTCAGCTTAGGAACACGCTTGTGCAGTGCAGATGTTTATAAGACACAATAAAAGAAGAAGGGATAGAGCCAGAGGGAGAAGGATTGAAGAAGGCTTGAAATAAACAATTTATGTAGTGAAAGAAGTTCTTGTGATCTTATTCATCCAGGATTGACTCCAAAGTCTGTTGAAACCATGAGACTCTTTCCATTAATTTCAACAGAATTTAGATGAGTACTCATTTATTAAGTAATTAAGTGACTAAAAGAGTTCCATTGCTTAGGGAAATACTGAGGTGAATATAAGAATGTTTTCAGTTTAATGCCTTTCAGCCAGACAAGTAGGACTGTGCTTCACCATTGAAGAACATGGTGAGAGAAGATGAAATCTTAACAGATAAAACAAGAATGAATCTGAACAAAACACTATAAGAATTCCAAGTAAAACTCAAAACACAGTTATATAAGAAATTTTGATTGACAAAATTTTGGCTTTCTTGTGCTTTATTTAATTTCCTATTTGTTTATTACACATTTTAATCTTTTAGCTGTAGGAAGTTGCAGATAAAAGTGTTGCTCAAAAGCTGAAACTGACAAGCAGTGGGTGTTTTAGGAGGTGTTTAGCCTAAATGAGTGATTACAGAGTGAAAATCATTAGGAAGTTTTCAGTCAATTTGAGTTTTAGTCCAAGGAGGACATGCCAGCTTTTCTGTCTTGTCAAAACCAATGATCTCCTTTGTTTCAGTGAAATTTAAATAACACCTCTGTAGGATTCAGCTCATTTTAAGCCTAATCTTAGTTTTGTGTCTTGAGTGTTTGGCTTCCCTCCCACCTTTTTTTTTGTTTAAACCCATGACTATTATGGTGAAGATTATTATTGGTGACAGATGTTAAAATAAAGTTTTATAAAACTTTATAGGAATTGATAATCTTCATTACCACAAAAAGCTGATAACATAGTGTCTGTTCTTGCATCCTACAGATACTTCAGCAAGATGCTTTTGATCTAGAAAACTCAAGCCAAGACAAGGAAATAATGAAAAGAAAAAATCCCTATATTCTGAAACGGCAGCTACATGTGAACAAAGCTAGAAGACCATACATACTCAAGAGAAGTTCATATTACTGATGCAGCAGAAGAAAACAATGTATATTTAGTTTATAGGTAACTGTGCGTTATGGTTATCTTACTTAAATCTAAAATCATACTTGTGTGAAAATATACAATGGAAAATCACCAAGATGATAACATAACTGTGTCTTTTTTGCAATTGCTGTTTCTTGATTGTGATTTTTTCCTACTTGAGATTAATTGGACCAATACATTTGCGAATAAATCTAGTTTCTAAGCATGATGTATTGTACAAAACTGAGATTTCAACGTATTTCAAACAATACTGTAGTCTTCTCCTATTTTATAAAGCACACTGACATCCACCAAGTAAACTGATGTTGTCCATAAACCCTACTGAGAATCTTACGAGTTTTTAATGCAACACCTCAAACATACATATGCTTGCAAATTTTTGTATAATACACTAGTCAGAACTGCCACAATATTTTATATATTGGCCGGTTTAATTTATTAGGGATTAGGTCTAAGAAAGGAGAGAAATACTCTCAGCCAACTACTAAGTGGCAGTTTCAAAATTCATAATTTAAACAGACTGCTTGTAAATTAATTTTAAGTTCTTGATTCCTAACTTGCCACTGAAGAGTCATAATTTAAGAAAACAATGCATAAATGAGACTTTAACAAAGTATACTAGTGAGAACAAACCCAGATGTGCTTCGGTCTTGTGTATCACTGACTATATAAGGCAAATAGTTTATTAAATCAGTAAAATAATTAACAGTGTTTACGTAATCTATGAATGCTCAGGAAAAAAAATAAAGACAAAAAATAAAAGGTGATTCATGCTCCTGTGCTGTCACTGTTAAAATACTAACCTGGTTATATAAGAAACTTCAGAGAAATATTTGAAAGAGGAATTAAAACTACAAAATCTTAAACTTACAATTAAAAGTCGTTTCCCTTGCCACCCTCTACAAATTTGTAATAAAACCAGGCAGTTTCAGGAGTTAAAGACAGTCTTGGAAGCTGACAGAAAGGGAAGTTCCTGGCATGAAAAAAATTGTTTTCAAGCCCTGAGGAATCAAGTGCCACCTGAAACTTACATGTTTTCTAGCTCTGTGGCTGTGATGTGTACATGAGGCTCAGGATCTCAATGACCCTGGGTTCCAATCTGGGGGAAAACAGCCTGAAAGAACTGGGGGCCACAACAGTAGTTGGAATAGAGGGATAGTCCAAGACCCATGAAGCCTGGATGCTCAGACCAGGAGGCAAAAAATGGGACAGATACTGCGTTTGAAAACCTCCCTCTTTTCTGTTTGAGGTATTTCCTCAAAGCAATGCTGTTCAACAAATTGTCAGAAAAAAAACCACCACTTGGAATATTTCCAAATCCTCTCACAGGTCAGATTTTCTGGTGATTAATATTAAACATATACAGCAATATGCACAGAAAAAACATACCCATACCAATGGTTATACCAACTTTTTAACATGTTAATCAGTTTGTTTATTCAATAGCCACTGAATGCATGTGCTCGCAAGATATAACTGAGCATACACTAATTACTATAATAATCATTACGACTTCAATACAGCAAAGCGCTTAAGCACATTTGGTCTCAATGTTTTAAATGCTTAATGCGCTTAAGGGCTTTGCTTAAATAAGTTTCTAGTAGATTCATACCCTTCATTTTTTTTTTATGGAACTGTCATAGAATTAGACTGGAGACACAATATGCTCTCAAGTGGCTAAGAAACATCCCTTTTTCCAAAAAACCTACAAGCTCCCTAGTCCTGTTATGTACACTTTAAATTCTAAGTAAAAGTCACCTGTCTGAAATAACAGAGCAGAACACAGTTTGTTCCAAAATTCACTGCTAGCAGTATATGAGGAAAAATGAAAAGAAATTTCAGATCACTATTTCATGGGGAACACCAAAGGATAAGACAAAAAGAAATAGGTTGCCATGATAATTTTCTCCTGTGTTCAGTGCAAGAGCACAAAAAAAATATTAGGGCAAGGTAATGTGGTTGTCATCTGATAAAGAATGTTAAAATTTTCCAAAAGAAAAACACCCTTCAACGTTTCATTTTGGAAGTAATTTAGATATTCAGGGTGATGGCAGAGGAAGTCAAATGATGATGATAAACTGTTTCACCCCCATCTAGTGTTCCACACTCAAGTGGGACTTACCTTGTGACTGAGTATTTGTTCCTTGCAGTGCAGAGTTAACAGATTAGCCAGACTGACTGGCTGAAAATGGCTTAAAATAGACCATTTCCTTTCAGCATACTGTGAATCCACACAGTCAGCTACTGTGTATCACTGGAGGAGGCAGAGCTTAAAGTATGGCAGGAGGTAGCTTGTTCAGTTGTTCCCTTGCCTCTGATGCAGGTGTTAAGGGAGCTGTCAGAAGAATGTCATCCAGAGTGAGAGACAATCTAGATAAGGAAACAATATCCAATATTGTGGCATGGTCAGTAAAGATACAAAAGCCAATGCTGGCATTTCAGCTCATTCATCAGTGACAAAAAGCTATCATAGCAGCACTGAAATACTAGAAAACACACAAACCATGCGATTAAGCCAGATATACAGAGCTGTTAAGGAATATTCTGGTGGGTGGGGGATCATTATTGTCTTGAAATCTCCTCTCACTTTTAGATGTTGCTACCTCCTGATGACCCCACTGCTGTGGAATTGTAGCCTTTCTTTAGCCCTCCTTTTTGGATGATGGCCACAAAAATTGGGTAGGGTTATGCATATTTGTCTCTATTTCACACATTCTTTCTGTGGGATACTCAGGGTTCCTGCCTCGGCACTAGCTGTCATTGCCTGCAAAATCAATGCTGTATTTGCAGCAGCAATGGGTGCTGAATGAAGTTCAAGCCAGAGAAGGCCCTCACAATATGTAAAGATTTGTAAATTCAGACAACTTTTTCTTTTTTTCTCTTTTTTCCCCCCGCAGCTTGTAGTTGCCTTAAGTTTAAAAATGTTGTTTTGAAGACCATTAAGTCAGATTGCTACCTTGCCTTGAAAAACTGCCTCTTGATAGGGACAATTTTGTTTTATAAAGGCAATTACTGAGAGATTTGCTGTCTGTGTCTACAGAGGAGCACATTTTTCCTATTCCATTGCTGATGTCTTCACGAAGTTCATAGATGAATAATTATACCAATTATTCAGGAGCTTTATACTTAATTATTTACCATACTCCTGAAATATTGTCATACAGAGCGATCGCAGAAACCTCTCAGTTATTTCTTATGTAGAATTAAATGTAATGGAGATTTAATTTGATTTTATATATTTTTAATAGTTATCAACCACAATCTTACAAATGCCCTATACAAGAAAAGTAAAAGAGAAATGAATAATTTTATCATCTCTGAAGTGTATATTTGTTAGTTTTTCTTTAAAAGAAACTTTACAAAATTATAGTGTTCTCAAGGTTAAATGTGGTGATAAAAAAAGTCTTCACTTTTTTTGAGTCTTGCTTGTGGTATACTCTACAAATTTCTGTTTTCAATCTTTTTTATTATAAGTCTAAACTTTGTTCTATGTTTTAGGTAAAAATTTAATGGCTGTGGTGTGAACAGAGTGGATGAAATGTGGAGTTTGCAGATTAGAAGAGATTTAATTTTGCAATGTATGATTGTGACTATGCCTCAAACCCTACTCTTAACTAACACACAGTGGGAGCATGATAATTTAGTCTTGACCTTTATTCTTCCCCTCAGAATTAGTTATCATTTTGCACTGTGCTGTATCAAATTGAAGGTGAGAGCTACCACCATAATACTTGAGTGTAGGAGGGCAAGGTTCTTCTAAAATCCCCAAAGTTCAAGACCGATCACTGATGTTCTCCACATCCAAAATATTGGACCAAGTGAAGGCAGTCATAAAACAAGAGCTGCAGAGAAACTGCAAAATAAAGTATACTGACTTCTGTGACTTAATGGTAGAGTCAGAACTTGTACCTTGATCTTTAGGAAACAAAGAAAGTGGAGGGAGGGGATGATCTTCACAAGGAATACGGAGAATGAGATTTTAATTGCTACCAAATTCAAGCATTCAAAAGTTGTGAGGGGGGCTGCACAAATCTGCAAATAAATAAATAGGTGGATAAATATGTAAATAAATAGTCCTGACATCTAAATAAAGTAATAAATTATTTTTATTTCAATCAGTTTACTAGACTGCCAAGGAGCATCTGAATCCCATTTTTTTGTTTTGTCAACAAGAGAAGCTAAAACATATTTGTCTGGTTTCATTCATTGCTACTGAAAGTTGACATCCTCATCCAATCTCTTGAATCCAGCAGGTGATACATTAAGACACACAAACCCACAATGTTGATGATCCAATTTCAAAATCTGTCAGATGCAGAACATTTGGATGTGTCTGACAGACCAAATAATCCGACAGTGGACCGGAGCTTTGTGGTACCTCATTAGCAGGCTGAATGACTCCTCTGAGGTGGCAACATGGGGAAACGGCATGGGAGCCATGGACTTAGGAACTTTTGGACTTGAATTACCAAGGAATAGCATTTGTCTGTTTGAGCTCCCAGGGGGTCAAGTCCCAGTCTGTTTTGTCTCAAAAGTTACAGTGCAGTATTAATTTGGAATCATTTTCTGTTTTACTCTTGAAGTTCCGTTGAGGAATCTTTTGCAGGATGTGTTTCTCTTATGCATACATAATGAGCTTCTCGGATACTCTACACATTGCTTTCATAAATGACTGTGAGCAGTCTGGGGACCTCTGTCCAGATGTAGTGTCTAAGCTGCTTAACAAATTGTTGACAGTATGTGAAGGAAAAACTGCTGGGTTTGTACGTCAGTGAATCTGATCTTGAGGATAGACTGGAAACATCCTAAAACACAATCTTGACATCATTATTGCAGCTTTTTCTGAATCATTATTAAAAAATCCAAGCTGCATAACAGATTTTAGTAATCTAATATTTTAGAATTAAAGATTCCCCTTCCCCCCCCCCCCCCCCAGAAATATTTAACTCTCTAAAAAAAATGTTCAAAAAAAAAAAAAAAAAAAAAAAAAAAAAAAAAAAGAACTAGTAAGAACTAGTATGTGCTATATTGTCCATTATTTTCTTAAAGAAAGTAGTCACAGAGCAATATGACTTAGGAATCATTTTGTCTGGAATGAATGGTGTGGTTCCTCGAAATTTTGTTTTCAAAACCATATTGTTTGCATGTATTTGAAGACAACTATTCCTAGGATCTGACATTGTAAAGCCTTTTATGAGGACAGAAAAAACAATTTAGTTGATTCCATGAATAAACCCTGTGATTAAAAAACAGTCCTCCTCCTCAAAAACATAAAATCATTAAAGATTTCCTATTTTATAGCAGGTATAGAGAAGGTCTCAGAAATAGTTTACTTAGTAGTTCTTGCATGAATGAAATCTCTTGGTTATTTTTGTGTACTACCAAATCCCCAGGGTAGTTGTATAACATATATTGCAGTTGTTGTTGTGTTTTGGTATTTTATTTACTGATCTTTTAAATAAAGAGCTGTTTGGAACAGACAACATGCCTTTTGTTCTGTTCAAATAATAGGAGCTAAAAAAAAATAACACCACATGGAACAAAGGTATATGTGTATTTATCCACAAATGAAGAGT